ATAACTTAATAAAGACTTTAGTACCTCGAGATTATTAACCGTCAACTTGTGTGATAAAGTTTTGTTAAGTAAAAAAAAAACTACATTTGTGTTTAGTTTTTTACTTATACACCGATATACTTGTGAATGGTGTATGAAATGCATTTAATTGCACAGTATGTTTTCTTATCTTATCTAAAGACTCTATCAATAGTAAGAGAGCGTTTGAGCAGAACAGACGTAATATTAATCATCTCAAGTGGTCAGATAGTTGCAATAAAAGTTGTGGCGTATGTGTACATCTGGGTTGTATTGCACAATACATGAGTGTTGACCCTTTATGTGGAGGATGCAGATGAGTTGCAAACGAAGTGGAGAACAATTTTCCTTTTTTTGGAACCTCTCCGGCTGACCACCGAATTTGACAGGCATCTTTCTGGCTCGTAACACGACGGATGGCTTTATATCAGGGTAGTCACTAGACCTCCTGCACGACCCCGCTGCTACGACCACAACCACCACCGTCTGACAACCTCCTATTCAAGCCTTGGTGGCCGTGTACCTTCGCCATGCCTTGGAGTGCTCCGGGGTGGCCAGGCTCGCATTCGAGAACCTTCTGGTAACGGACGGACGCCTGGAAGATGTCGTCGTCTTGGAGATAATTCTGAGCCTCTTGAAGGAGTCGCTGTATTTCCTCCGAGGAGAGCCTGGGTGGCGCGGAACCTGGCATGAGAGATTTGATAATATATGATAGAATATGATATTCATAGTATATGATATTCATGGTGGATGAGTTACATTTTGTTTAAGGTACATGCTATGGACTAATTACTGAATCTGATTCAGGTGTGGCGTATTTATGTAACGTTTTGACACCACAAAGTTCCGTGTTTCTGAAAGCCCTTCTTTCTTCCACCCCTCCCTCTTTCGCTCTCTTTCTTATTTACAAGTATTTCCTCTTTGAATGTCCCCCTTTTATTTTCCTCTAGTCTTCCTGTTCAAAGTTTCCTGCCCTTCTTTCTATCAAACTTCATCTTCCTCTTTCGCTCAGTCCTCTCCGTCTTTACTCCCCCCCCCCTCCATTTACCACATCCACACCCTCACAGGTTCTTTATCACCCTCTTTCTCCCTTACTCTCCCCACCTTCTTCATTTCCTCCACTTCATCTCCTTCTCGACTGACCTGCTCTAGTTGACCCGCGCACAGGGGGCAGCGGACCTCGGATGACCTCCAGGCTGGTCAGATCATCCTCCTCTGCTTTGACCTTAGCTGACCAAGCCTCCATGTCGGCCTCCAAGCTTTGCAAACTGGGAGGAAAAAAATATAATGTAATATTTGTAAATGAAAATATGACGTGCGTGTGCGTGTGTGCTCTATACATGATGTGTCTATGTGTGTGTCTATATAAACTTATATTTGCGCCCGGAGTAACCGGTCCAACCCTCTGTACAAAATAGCACAGCAAGATAATCCAGCATCTTATACTCAATTATCCTGGCGGTGAACTCACAGGTCTGGCGGGAGATCCTGAATGCGAACTGCCGGCTGGTCTTCCAACAGCATCCGGCTTTCGGGATTCACCTCAGCCAGCCTCTCCTCTGCGAACCTGACGACGGTTATTAAAAAAACAATAACGATAAAGGGGATAACGTAAAATCAATCAAACACACACACACACACATTTTTTTCCGTAGATTACATCATAAGCATAAACACGTTTAGCTTGATGAATCCAACGAAACGAGTTCGAAAATTCCTTCACTGTATCCGAAGCCACCGGAAATATGAGCGGCGTAACGTAAACAAGTATATAAACAAGTTCCGGCGTATTTAAATAATGAGCGAAAAAAGTGTCGGGTGGCCAAAGGGTTCAAGTTGATTGACTTTACAATCTACTGAATAAAAGAGCAACAAATACAGCAATAGACAAATAAAACAAGAGAATTTTCCTTACTTGAGGAGGTCAGGATACAACCCTTCTTCTCCAGACCTTAAGATTCGAATTATCCGCTCGATTGTCTTACCATCCTCGCACTCCGTCAGGAAACCGTAGTCTAGCTGTTCCACCTGAGGAGGATAGTACTTGGCGTTATGTGAGATAGAGCAAGAGGTATGCAGGAGGGGTGAGTGAGAGAGAGAGAGAGAGAGAGAGAGAGAGAGAGAGAGAGAGAGAGAGAGAGAGAGAGAGAGAGAGAGAGAGAGAGAGAGAGAGAGAGAGAGAGAGATTCACTTCCACAACACTACTGTCATGAGCCTTTCTGTAAAGGCCCGGTCCCACTGAAGATAGGATGAACTGAGAATGAATTGCGGATACACATTTTGTGAAAAGTTGGCTATTCGTTTTCATCCGCAACAAAAATTACCAAAAATGACAAATTTTCCGCACTAGGTGTGCAGATGTATTACGGAAATATTAATAACGCATTGCGAATATGTTACGAAAAACAACGGATGTCAGGGTGGTTGCATTCAAACTGGTAATCCTTGACGAATATATCATGAATATTGCGAATACATAAAA